GGACCATAGAGAATCGGTATATGAGCCTCACTGTATTCAGTCAACAGGTAGGTTGTCGCTTGTGGATGCTGTTCTTGAAAAGAAAAACGTTGATTTGGTGGTCGGCCTTTTCGAATCCCTTGTTGGTCTTCTGTAGTGGAAGATTTTGATAAATATTTTGCATCTGTTGCATTCATTTTTCTCTTATAAAATGTACTAACGAAATCGTATAAACAGATTTTGCTTAAGATATCTGATCGATATTGATAATCAACTCGCGTGTTGACAAGTACAAAATTGTTTTTATTTTCAGTAGATGGAATCTGAAAATTTTCTTCATTATCATCTTCAGCTGCAGTATTTTCATCATCAAACACATTGTCATCGTCAATTACATCTATATGTGGAAAAAAATATATTCATGTTTATTTGTCTATTCAATTAGATATATATGTCTATATTTTCTGTCTTGATATGTAAAACAAGAATTACATTTAAATTTTGAATAAATTAGTTCGATGCTCAACACTTATTTTGTGCAGTATCATAACTAAATTACACTAATGTAATTCTTCGAGTATAAATTGTTTGAAAATCAGAAACAGTGTATAACATTTTCCATCCGTCAATGTCATTCTTTTTTCTCTTTCCGTTCTCTCGGTCTATGAAAACAAGTGTTCAGTTTTCAATGATTATCATATATATTGTTTTTCGTTTCGTCTAAGTTGTGTTTATCACAAATGACTTTTCCTTCTCTTTTTTTCTTGTTCTCACTCTTTTCTCTATTTCGCTTTGCATATGCAGAAGAAAAACAATTGCGGTTTCAATAAAAGTTATTGCAAAATAATAATTGTAGAAAGGTAAACTATTATCTTACCATGCGAGGCATGTTCTAAATTTTGTTTGATGCGTAATTCGTTTAATTCTGTTTGTAAAAATATCTCAGTTTGAATTAAATAAAGACCTTGAAATTTGTGCGTAGTGTAATGATCGCCCCAATTCATGAGATAAGAGGCAACTTGAACTCCAGAGAGCTCTTGTTGAGAAGCAAGTGTGCTGTAACAACGCAAAACCAGTTTGCGTGATCTTTCTATAGCACTTTCTGTCTCTGTTTGATCTGCTACATTTCTGAATGATGTAATACTTTTTTGAATAAGAGAGAATGTGTCATGAAAAGATAGACTCGTTTTTGTGATATAATCAGTGATATAATACACAAGAGCCTTGGCATCACTACCAGTCCAAATAAATTTAATATCCATGTTGGAACGACATG